GAAAAAGATACCGGTTGTCGGTCGACCCGGTGGAAACAAAATCGTCACTCCCAGAATAAATACGCAAAATAACGATCTAAACTCGAACCATTCGAGCCACAATATAAACATAAAAAATTACTTTCTTTGCATTTAACAATGATAAACTTACCGAAAAGCCGTGTTTTTCTCGGTCGCTAACGTCGGTATAATCCGCCATTTTTATTTGAGTGTGTTTGCCACCTGAATCTGCCCAGTGACGTCATCATGTGCGCTATAGATCGAGGTCTGTGATTCGTTGACTGAAATCGTCGATAGTGGGTCTCATTGAAATCTCGTTACATAGGCATCGGGTCAGATGTATGTAGGGCGGAATTAAAAAAAAATAACAAAATCAAAGTAAAATAATAAAATGAAAAGGCATTAATAACAAAAGTAATAAAAACTAAAATTAAAATAAGTTTATAGCCAAAATAATTAAAGCCTGTACACTACATCAGATTTTAATCAGATTGGGGCCCCTCCTATCATGGCTTCAATTCAATTTGTTCTTTATCCTCTTAACCCACTCCTCAAAACAGTGTTAGCATATTATAGTGTATTATACAAATGTAGGCAAAACAAAAAAAAAACATTCTTTTAAACAATGTACAAAACATAGAAAATATTGTGAACATTGAGGCCTATGAATCCGATCATGAAAACACACTGACAACTCTCTGCCACTCGGTTTGCAAATATCTCACAATACCGGCAGCACTCGAGTGTTTTTTTGTTGACAAAACAAAAACAAAATAAAATACAAAATGTTACCCGGCAGGTATGAGCAGGTTCAAACCGTTAAATGAACAAGGATTTTTTTCTGGCCTTGTGTTTAATTTTGGTATCAGTGAGCATTGTACTTATTGCATTCCTTTTGCCAGATCAGTAGGTGTTATGATATTGCATATGTACATTTATAATAACTTTAGTAGTGCGCCCTCTTGTGACAGAGAATACTATATCTGTTATGACCTATGACTCAAACACTTGTTGGCGGTAGCCATTATTGTTAGTTTCACTCGATGTAAACCAGAGTTGTTTCAGTTGAATTAAATGAGTTCAAACATTCATGCTGTATCAATAACTTAACATGGTGTCCCAGGACGTTCAAGTTAAAAGAAAAGTGATACCCAAGTAACTGAAAATTGTCGTAAGTTGACTTCTGACTCACGAACATTTGCAAGTCCTGGTTCAGACAAAACAAACATGGCTGATAAACTCCCTACCATGAACTGGGAATCTGATAACGTAACAGAGTCATTCAGTTTATTCAAACAGCGTATAGAGCTTTATTTTGTCGTGAAAAATGTGAAAGACAAAGAAAAGGCTGCTAATATTTTGCTGGCAACAGGGGAAGAAGGATTACGTAAATTCAATAGTTGGGACCTGTCAAATGACGACAAGTCAAAACCAGAGGTAATATACAAGAAATTTCAAGAGTCAATTGAACCAGCTGAGAATTTCAGAATTAGTCGACTCACGTTAAGCACATTGAGACAGAAACCTGATGAATCCCTTGATTCGTTTGTTAGTAGATGTAAACTGCTGGCTAATAAGTGTGACTTTAAACAGAAGGAGCTCCAGGAGCGAATAATTGAATTAATTATTGCCGCTACACCAATACCAGAATTCTAGAAAGAGCTACTAGCAAAGCCTAAGACATATACATTGAATGAAGCTATTGCCCTTGGAAGGAATTATGAAGCTGCCAATGCTCACTTATCTGTACTAAAGTCTATGGATCAACCAACCACATCTAAAACAGTTGAGGTTGTAAAGTCAGCAAAACGAACACACAAGGAATGCAGAAATTGTGGTTTAACTCATCAGCAGAGAAAATGTCCAGCTTTTGGCCAAATATGCAAGAAATGTGGAAAGCGAAACCACTGGGCAAGAAAGTGTCAGTCGTAAGCCAAAAGTGGAGAAACAAATAAGAAATGTGGAAAGCGAAACCACTGGGCAAGAAGGTGTCAGTCGTAAGCCAAAAGTGGAGAAACAAATAAGAAATGTGAAAAGAAAACACATGAGGTGAGGACAGATTATGAGTCTGACAGTGCTGAGAATTATGGGTTTGATGAATGCACATGAGGTGAGGACAGATTATGAGTCTGACAGTGCTGAGAATTATGGGTTTGATGAATGCACATGAGGTGAGGACAGATTATGAGTTTGACAGTGCTGAGAATTATGGGTTTGATGAATGCACAAAAGGAATGAAAGACAAATTCGCAGTGATCAAGATTAGCACAACACAGGGACAGAAACTCCTCAAAGCAAAGATTGACACCGGAGCTCAAGCCAACATTTTAAATTATACAACATACTGAACACTGTTTGGCTTAGACCATAAGCCGAACATTTCAAAAGTATGTCCCGGCGGGTTTGGATATACATCTTTTAAGAGTTGTGGGAAAATTACAATTCCTGTTCCTGATCACAAAGGCAAACAGGAAAGAAATGTAGAATTCTTCATATCAGAATTCTTCAGTGGTTCAAGTTAGATTATGCACATGCCTAGAACTTGTCAAATAAATTCTATTGTAAGGTACACAAATGCTGTACAGGATATGACGTGGAGAAAACTGTAGCCTACATCCCCTGCAAAAAACAAAAATTGACAACACTGAAATCGAACTGCGACAGAGAATAGAATGGCAAATGAAAACATGCAACAGAAATAAATGAACATTATGCAACATTAGAAGTATTATAACAAAAATAATTTATTGCAAACACAATCAATACACAATACTTAATTGTCAGGGGTAAAACTGCGTAAAATTATTTCTGGTTTCGACAAATTACAAATCAACTGTCATACAAGATATTTAATAATTTGCAAAATCACACAGTAAAAATTAGAAAATAGTTGTTTAAAAAAACTTCTCAGATCTTTATTTGTGCGTTCATTGCCATCATCCTCAAAGTGTCACTGTCAAACAAAATCTCTACAGCTTTGTCCTGAAGTTTATTGATGTCGTCGCACACAATTTGGACATAGCATTTTTGATCCACAGATTTCGCTGTCAACTTGGCACTTTTAATTCATGTCCAATCACAATAAAGAGACAAGAAAAATGGGGTCGCTCTGCTATGATGACACACAAAATAAAAATAGTAAATGGTAAATAGTCTACCAAAAACATCGTGTTTAAAATACCTTGTTTCCCAAACAACAGCTAACATTTCACGTTCTAGGTTACTATAGTTGGCTTCTGCCAGTGTTAGAGCTTTTGAAGCAAAGTGGATAAGTTATCATCTTGTAGCAAAACAGCCCGAGACCTTTACTGGATGCGTCACACTGGATCACAATTTCTTTACTAGCATCGAAGTATGTCAATACTGGTACTTTTGTTATGGCTTGCTTTATCTGTTCGAGTGCTTTATCATGGCTGGCAGACCATTTACCATTCATTCTGACCACCAGCCTCCAGAGTCGGTAGCAAAGAAACAAATCAACAAGATGCCAGCCAGACTGCATATTGAAGGATATAATTACAATATAAGGTATGTGCTAGGGAAAGATGTACCCCTCGCTGACTGTCTATCAACATGCATAGACACCAAACAGCCTTCCAAATACCTGATGTTGAGGTGCATATTCACAAAGTCTCAATGATGAAGCCATTTATCATTGACCGCATCCAAGACCTCACTGTCAAAGATTCAGTTCTTTAAGCCTTAATCCCATACATCATAAAATGGATGGTCTAAATAGAAGAACCAATGAAATGAAATTACCCATGCATATCGACAGCATCGCTTCGAGTTAGCTCTCCACAATGGTGTAGTACTAAAAGGTCATCAGATCATCATCCCAACGGAAATATTACTCCAAATTCCTAGGTATAGAGAAAACGTGTCTCAGAGCCAGACAGTCAGTATATTAGCCTGTTCTGAATGCAGATATAGAACACATTATACAAGACCAATGTGTAACCAATGTCAAACCTACCAGAGAAGTCAGTCAACCAGTACAACCAATCTACAGTACTAGAGCCATTAACTTGATTGATATGGACATACTGTGGAATACTTTATTTTCGTTGGAATTAATTTTCGCTGAAAAGGCTTTTTGGGCGTTTTGTATAGAATTTATTTTCACTGATTTTTGATCAGTTGAATGTGAAATATAGGAAAAAAAGTATATTCGCTGTATTTTATTTTCACGGAATCATCCCTCCAGTGAAAATAGCGAAAATAAATTCCAAGCGAAAATAAAGTAGTCTACAGTATTCGAGAGTGAAGGCTCTCAATACCTTCTAATCGTTAATTACTATGCTGGTTATGTTTGGGCATATAAATTACATAACATGACTAGTTCAACGGTCATCAGCAAGATTGATGAAATATTCTGCAATTTTGGATACCCAACAGACTTAATATCGGACAATGGGCCACAGCCTACAAGCAGTGAAATTCAAGATATTGCCAGACTCATGAGATAAGACATACAACCAGTGCACCCAATCACCAACAAGCCAATGGACGCACAGAAAGAAATATATACACAGTAAAATTATGCTCTAAAAATCTCTTCAGAAAGGGGAGGAAAACCTGAGGGAAATCCTGACACATTGAGAGACACTCCCATTACAGCAGATATTCCATCTTTCTATTTGCGTTAATGTTTCCCAGTAGAAAGGTCAAGACCAAACTCCCATTTCTACAGTATGGGCGTGAACAGTCTACAAATAGTTATATGAAGATTGAACAGAGAGCAAATTCTTATGGAAGTCAAACAGACATTACACAACTCGAAACAAACTCTCTACGTAGGTTTCAGAAAACACCAGATTCACCATAGCAACCCGCCACAGTCATTAACAAATTATCTGGCAGAAAATACACAGTGCAGACGCCTGACAGCACTCAATACCAACACGATCTATCTCACATAAAACCAGCAAATGATAGGCCAACTATGGATATGCAAACCAATGATACTGCAAGCAAGTTGAACCAGGAACCACAAGGAATCAAAAACACACTTGACATTAAAGAAAGACCAGACATTGCAAACCTGCAGTATAAGGATTTTGTATTGACATAAACTGTAATATTTGAAAAGCTCAAATGAGAGCTATGTTATTCAATTTCTATTGTGTTTATCGAGTTCCCAAATAAATAAATACCAAACCTTTCAAACATATTTTTTTCATTATTACTGATAATGGCTAATCTCGAATTGGCCTTCAGGACTGAAATAGAAAATAGAGAAATCATTTGCCAATTTAAACCAAAAAAAATAGAAAATTCCCAAGAAATGAGGCAAACAACAGATTGTGTAAAGAATGCAACATACATACAACACCTGTACTGTAGAAAATGAAGAACATTTTATTCTTGAGTCAAGTTGACTGTTGCCTCTTCACTCAAAAAAGAAATATCCTATTAGAAGACTGTAAATTAAAAATGTGTAATACAGCTAACTGAAATTTAATATTCACTTCAACTTAAAAAACACAATTTATAAAACCTAATTGTAAATCTACATTTTTATATACAATGTACATGTATATCCCTTAGTTTATGTTATTTGTTTTCTCTTTGTAATTTTGTAACTTTTTTTTATCTGTATCCTTACCATACAGCACCCACCGATGGTTCGGTTGTGTAATAAAGTTATCATTATTATTATAATTATTATTATACATGTAATTATAGGATAAAATGTATGATTTTTCAGTTGTTTTTATGTGATAACTAGTTACATTAAAATTCACTGATGCTGGTATTTCAATAATTTGCTAAACTGAACAAGAAGAATGGAAAGTTTGAAAGTAAAATCACAGTTCTTCTATCATCTTGAAATGACTGAGTGCAGATGAATAAATTGTTCACATCTACCGTAGTTTTAAAAGGGGGAAATTTTCAAACTTGTTCTTCCAAGGTGTTGTAATCCATGTGTGTGTTGGATCTTTTCTCAGATTAAAGACTTGAAGGTTACTTTAACTAAATCTCCAAACAATGCTGCAGATGGAGGCGGCGATGCTGCAGCTGGTGTAAGGAGTGTTGAAACTACTAAAGTCACTAACAAAGACGATAGATTGAACGAGTTAAGTCCTCCCAAACAGAACAGAGCAAATGATAGTGACACTAGTGACAAAGATGAACCAGGTATGAACAAATAAATATCTAAATCACCATGTTATTTTCATCATTTTATTTTTCAGTTTTGGTGAGGTTCTCCTGCTTGAAAAATGCACTAGGTTACTTGCGTAGAACGTTTTTGTTAGTCCTCGTTCGGACGTAGTCCGAAAACGGGTCCTTATGTTTTGCCCTGTGTGCGTGCGTGTGTGCGTGCGTGCGTGTGTCCGTGATCACCTGTATCTCGAACATGCATGGACCGATTAAGTTCAAACTTCACTCATACATCACACATTATATGGGACATATGCACATGCATTTTTTTCATGATCCGATTAACGATAGCCGAATAGCGGCCATTTTAAGGCCAAAAATGCATCAAAATCGCACATTTTCACCATTCCGGACCCGGATCTCAGTTATGCATGGACGGATTTTGTTCAAATTTTTTTTGGATCGGGTTTGAAATAGCCGACTGGTGGCCATTTTGTTTTAAAGAATTCAGTTCTGGATCCGTATCTGAGTTATGCCTGGATTGATCGAGTTCAAACTTCACACACACAAGGTACATCATGTCACAAATATGTATGTGCATTTGTTTCATGATCTCATTATCGATAACCAAATGGCGGCCACTTTAAGGCCGAAAATGCATTGAAATCGCACATTTTCACCATTCCGAACCTGGATCTCAGTTATGCATGGACGGATTTTGTTCAAATTTGGTACATACATTAAACATAATAAGACCTTGATGCACGTCATTTTTCTTTCCGGATCAAGTTCGAAATGGCCGACTGGCGGCCATTTTGTTTTTAAAACTTTTGTTCTTGATTCGTATCTGAGACATGCCTGAATTGATCGAGTTCAAACTTCACACACACAAGGTACATCATGTCACAAATATGTATGTGCATTTGTTTCATGATCTTATTAACGATAGCAAAATGGCGGCCGATTTAAGGCCGAAAATGCATTGAAATCGCACATTTTCACCATACCGGAACGGGTTTCAGTTATGCATGGACAGATTTTGTTCAAATTTGGTACATACATTAAACATAATAGGACTTTGATGCACGTCATTTTTTTTTCGGATCAAGTTCGAAATGGCCGACTGGCGGCCATTTTGTTTTTAAAAATTTAGTTCTTGATCCGTATCTGAGACATGCCTGGATTGATCGAGTTCAAACTTCACACACACAAGGTACATCATGTCACAAATATGTATGTGCATTTGTTTCATGATCTCATTAACGATAGCCAAATGGCGGCCGCTTTAAGGCCGAAAATGCATTGAAATCGCACATTTTCACCATTCCGGACCCTGATCTCAGTTATGCATAGACTGATTTTGTTCAAATTTGGTACATGCATTAAACATAATAGGACCTTGATGCACCTCATTTTTTTTGGATCTAGTTCGAAATGGCCGACTGGCGGTCATTTTGTTTTAAAGAATTCAGTTCTGGATCTGTATCCGAGACATGTCTGGATTGATCAAGTTCAAACTTCACACACACATGGTACATCATGTCACAAATAGATATGTGCATTTGTTTCATGATCCGCTTAACAATAGCTGAATGATGGCCATTTTAAGGCCGAAAATGCATCAAAATCACATATTTTCACAACTCCGGAACTGGATCTCAGTCATGCATGGATGGATTTTGTTCAGATTTAGTACAATCTGTTGTACATATGAACGGAACGGGGACGTGTCATTGACAATGACTTGTTTTCTCTAAAATTTAGTTAAAGACCAACATGGTATATAAACAGGTGCAGATGGAGTCTATTATTCAAATGAAGACTCCCTCGCCCACAGCAACAACAGTGACTAAAAGCTTCACAGAAACATGAGAAACAGTGATTCATTGCATTATATTTTCTATTTTTCAGACTTGAATGGCGCCAAGAATGTTCAGGGAAGGCATAAACAAAAATAGGACTCAATTTGGCAGACCATTTACTTTTCCGTTTCAAAACAGTTGAGATTTAAATTTTACCGGCACTAAGTAAGCTCTGCCCACCTCAATTTGAATATGCCTATTTTGCATATGAGGTGAAATAAACGCCACTAGTGCGTTGTTTATGTTACTGATTACATGAAATGAATTATGGGAAAAGAAACACAACAAGGTTGTCAAATCCAGGCAGAATGTAGTTGGTCTTAAAATTGTATTACTCTCATGTACGTATGAATAATCAATAAAACCATATATGTTGGTACAGTATATTTCTTTTATGGAGAATTTAGTGGCCATGAACGCCCATGGTTTGGTTGAAATCCAACTTACGAACAGCATTCATAAGCCAATCCCAACAGTTAAGCCTGTAGTTATATGTGCATTCGATGTACCTTTTATTCATCAACCTTTGCCCACTGCTGTCATCTGGGGGAAATCTACGCGCTATTGTGTGGTCAATTGACATTCTCATTCCAATGTAGTATTGCTTTGAATGAAATGTGAGCGCCTATCAGGAAAACATTTAACAAATTGTTGAAGCTTTTGATTCACATGACTGGTATCGAGGGTGTGGACGTGGTATTAAGTATTTTTCTAAATAACAGAATTCTGATTAAATGAGCAAAATAAACGCTCATGCATGCATGGGCTCAAAAAGACTAATTGATACATTTCCGTCTTCTCTTAGTTTTGTCCAAAAAAAATGCTAATCTGTAGCCGCAAAAGAAATCCTGACTTTAACAAAGCAGTTTCACAGTTCTTATTTTCTATGTTCTGATGGGTGTGAACGTCCCCAAGCCAAGTTTGAAATTGCATGGGAACGCAATTATACATTGTAACAAACTCCCCGCTATGATTGTAACGATGTCATCGCCACTTGTTTTTCATTGTTGCGCACCTTACCCCCAAAAAAATCACTGGTAACCGTAGCAACTAACATTTCTCACACAATAAAAATGATCCAATGATCAGTCAGTCTTGGGATTCACGCTTATCGACCATGGACTTTCCAAGTCCATCAGAAGATGCAAGAACAATCACTTACAAATTTTACTTAAATATACACGTAATCTCAAACAATTATTACATCTTTCTTAGTTGTCTGAGATAGAAAGCAATCTTGAAGTAAACATCGCAAGACAGCCGAGAACAGACAACCAACAAACAAGCTGAAAGTATATATTAATCCAATATGGTTTGTGTTTGTGAATATATTTATTGAATATTTCAGCATATTCTACCACTATGAAGAAACTGTGCATATACTCAACTTGAATTTGGATTCCAACAACCAGTCTCATCATCTGAAAGAAATTGTTTATTTCCTTTTATCACAGCTTAGATCAGTAGTTAGACACACAAACAAAAGATAAGCGCAAATGTTGACTATCTGCTTACAATGAACAATTAACAGTTGTCGAATATCAGTCAAATTAGAACACTAAGCTCCGCCCATACGGTGGAGGTAAATTTCTGCTTTTAATCAGTGTTCTCTCCAGGATTTTTGTCAGGGAAGGTGACTAATTTGCACATTAATTAGCATATAATTTACATAATTTCTTCATTAGTTTTGTAAATTTTTTCATTTTTCGTAAACTGTTTTTACACTGTATTACTTTTAGTTTTATTAGCTCCGCTGTCGACTTTGTCGAGCGGAGCTTATCATATGAGTGATTGTCCGGCGTTCGTGTCAATGTTTTACTTTTTCGACTTCTTGAAAACTACAAGCCTGAATGCTTTGATACTTGGTGTATATGTACCTTGGGTAGACCTCTCTCAGATTTGTTCATTTCATGATGATATCTTCAATTCTCTAATTTTGGTGAATATTTTTGTCATTTTTGGTAAAAAGTGATATTTTCAACTTCTTGTTAAAAACCGCTAGTCGAATTGCTTTGATATTACATATATAGGTACTACATGTGGACCTCTCTCAGATTTGTTCATTTTGTAATGATATCTTCAATTCTCTAATTTTGGTGAATATTTTTGGTAAAAAGTGATATTTTCAACTTCTTGTTAAAAACTGCAAGTCCAATTGCTTTGATATTACATATATAGGTACTACATGTGGACCTCTCTCAGATTTGTTCATTTTGTAATGATATCTTTAATTCTCTAATTTTGGTGAATATTTTTGTCATTTTTTTGTAAAAAGTGATATTTTCGACTTCTTGTTAAAAACCACAAGTCCAATTGCTTTGATATTACATATATAGGTACTGTAAAATCTGTATTAGAAGCTGCGGCTTCTATTAAAATGGTACAATGCAACAGAGGGGATGTGGCTTCTATTAGAGCATCTACACATATGAGAAATGATGAATTTTTGGTTCTCAATTATTCAAATAGAATGGATGCGACTTCTATTAGGGATGCGGCTTCTAATACAGATTTTACGGTACTACATGTGTACCTCTCTCAGATTTGTTCATTTTGTAATGATATCTTTAATTCTCTAATTTTGGTGAATATTTTTGGTAAAAAGATGTTTTACCAATTCCAATAAACCAATTAGAATGGAAAATACATGTTCGAAAATTTTTTTTTTTGATTTTATTTATGTTTAATTTTTGACATCGGCTGTGGCGTAATCAGTGAATTATGAAAATAGACTACTCACATCAAGTACTATAGCAGCCTTCCGATTTCTGTTGGTTATTGTGTATGGCTCCAGAGAACAATAGCTCATAGAACAATAGCTGCGGAAATCATAGACAATAATAAAGGTTGTGATGTAAGATGGCATGGCGATGTCAGACAAGTATGGTGGTTTCTTGGGGCAGCATGACAGCGTTGCCACAGTGTTTGTAACCTGGGGAGAACATTGATTGTTGTAGGTGATGAATAGTAGATAATTGACTTTTGACCAATTAGAAAATAGCGTGTTCCTTTACTCGCTTCAGCTCATTTCTGTTTTTTCAGAATATTTCTTCAACCCACCATCCAACTTACAAATATTTTTTTTTTCCCCCACAATTTTTCAAACTCTCAATTTCCTCTATTAAGCAACTAAGTATTACCGAAATATTACTTATTTTGACCATAAATACACCTTCGTCATTTACAAAAGTGTGTATCGGTAAACTGCTTATACAATGCATGTGTGTTGCCAATAAAAAAATCGCTAACTAATGAGGCCAAAAAAGACAAGTTTCCAGTCAATTTTATAGATTTTCAGTGCTTGAACTTCAGGGTGCCATGTATGGAGCCATTTTGATAATATTCATCTCCAGGGAGTGCCATCTATGTGACCTTACAATAGGGAAAGATTGGTCCGTTGACCCAAGAGTTCAGTTTTACATACGAGTTAGTCGTTTTTGGCAATGATTTTGACACAAAAACAAGGTTTTTTTTTCAATACAGATTCATTTTCATTTCTCAGAGTTGTGTGAGCGAGTTTAATTCACTATTTTCTGTTCTGTTGATCCATTTTTTTTCTGTGTTGGAATTTGTGTAATTTCTTCAAAAACAAAAAGTTCAAATTTCTTTGCTGACCAACATGCACATTTACAATAATGGGTCGTAACTGGATGTGCATGAGTTATCACCTTAAAACACTCATCACCCATGTATTAGCCCCTGGCAAACTACTGACACGGTCTTATCTTTACGAATAGGTCTGTATCCCTTCTTTTTTTCAAAAATATAGTTCCTTATTACAGTATTTCAAGTTTAAAGAAAATTTCAATTGAGTAAGGGTTTCTTTTTCATCGATTCCTATATATTATGTTGTCATTCCAGAATTTGCATACAGTAATATCATGTGCATATATATTGAATGGTCTGTGACCCCAAATTTGATTGATCCTATATAGCAAAAGGAAATCCACTTTTTAGCTCTGCTTATCATATTTTGAAAACTCAATCCCTGATTGCTTTGATATTTGTAACTTGGGTAGACCTGTCTTAGATTTGTACATTTCATGATGATATCTTCAAATCTCTAATTTTGATGAATATTTTTGGTAAAAAGTTGTATTTTTGACTTGTTAGTCAGATTGCTTTGATATTATTTATATATTTTTTTTCATTTTGTGATATCTTTCAATTCTCTAATTGAAATGAGCATTGCTAACAGCAGAGCTATCTCGGCCCAGAGATTGCTTGTTTTTTGTGTTCAATCAGGCTTGGTTGATGTACCAACATTAAAGCGGGAGGGTGGTCACCTGCACACACGCAGGAATTGAGTCCCAAGCGATGATAACAACACACTCTAAAAATGCAAAAGCTTGGGTAGATACTTGTTTGTAAATAATGACACGCTATAGCCGTCTGACGCGTGCGCAGGTGACGACTCTCTGGCTTCAAATTGTTATTATAACTGTCAGACAGTTCTATCTTGTATTGGAAAAATGCACTCGTAGGGCCCAAAAATAATCATTTTTTTCATGCTGGACAATCAGTTATTTTTTTTAAATTTTGTGCTCTGACTCTGACTCTATTAGGGAATAAGCATTTCAATTTGCCCATACAAAAAAGTCTTGAAAGTGAATGTGACACGTAGGTTTGTATTTCAATAGAGCTCAGATGGTAATGGTCGCCCAGATCTTGTTTAGCCCCTTTATATAATAGCCAATTCTTACTCTCACATACTATGAGAGATGTACAATGTTTGGACATGTCTGCCACCAGAATATATTTTAACTGAAAAAGGTGCTTTTTGCAGAATCTTAAGTTTCATTGTACTTTTTTTATGCAGGAGACTTATCACGAATTCCCCAGGTTATAAACCTACTTCTTTTGCAACCAAAATTAAGAGTTTACACTAGTGATTGAGAATTCCAGCAACAATGATAACAACATTATTCCCTTAGGTGTATGTGTGCTGCTAATAGAGGAAATACTGAATTTAACTGATATGCCCTTGTGTGTATGTGCGCTGCTAATAGAGGAAATACTGAATTTAACTGATATTCCCTTTTGTGTTTGTGCGCTACTAATAGAGGAAATACTGAATATAACTGATATTCCATAATGTTTGTCCGCTGTTAATAGAGGAAATACTGAATTTAACTGATATTCCCTTATGTGTTTGTGCGCTGCTAATAGAGGAAATACTGAATTTAACTGATATTCCCTTTATATGTTTGTGCGCTGCTTATAGAATGAATACTGAATTTAACTGATATTCCCTTATGTTTGTGCGCTGCTAATAGAGGAAATACTGAATTTAACTGATGCTCCCTTATGTTTGTGCGCTGCTAATAGAAGAAATACTGAATTTAACTGATATTCCCTTATGTTTGTGCGCTGCTAATAGAGGAAATACTGAATTTAACTGATGCTCCCTTATGTTTGTGCGCTGCTAATAGAAGAAATACTGAATTTAACTGATATTCCCTTATGTTTGTGCACTGCTAATAGAGAAAATACTGAATTTAACTGATGCTCCCTTATGTTTGTGCGCTGCTAATAGAAGAAATACTGAATTTAACTGATATTCCCTTATGTTTGTGCGCTGCTAATAGAGAAAATACTGAGTTTAACTGATGCCCCCTTATGTTTGTGCACTGCTAATATAAGAAATACTGAATTTAACTGATGCTCCCTTATGTTTGTGCGCTGCTAATAAAAGAAATACTGAATTTAACTGATATTCAATTTTTACATTTGGATTAATAGAAATCAGTACAGCAGATGTTTCCCTTATAAGAAAGAAGTTACGAGACAAGCTGGTAAACATCAAACATGAAGTGGAAGTTTTAAGAAAAGATCCCAAATCACCGTTATATTTTGTAAAATCATTTGAAGAACTTCATCTGTAAGTACATGTAACATATGGTTCTGTATTTTATAAAATCACTTTTGCAAGACTTCCACAAGGTTGTACATCCTGGTACTTTGCATGACATTCACAAGGTCATACATCCTGATGCTTTACGTGACCTCCACAAGGTCATACATCCTGGTGCTTTGCACCAACTTTAGCAGGTCATACATCCTGATGCTTTACGTGACCTCCACAAAGTCATACATCCTGGTACTTTGCATGACCTTTACCAGGTCATACATATTGGTGCTTTGCATGACCCCCCTACAAGGCCATACATCCAGGTGCTTTGCATGACATCCACAAGGTCATACATCCTGATGCTTTGCATGACATCCACAAGGTCATACATCCTGATGCTTTGCATGACATCCACAAGGTCATACATCCTGATGCTTTGCGTGACCTCCACAAGGTCATACATCCTGGTGCTTTGCATGGCCTCCACAAGGTCATACATTCTGGTGCTTTGCATGGCCCCTGCAAGATCATAAATCCTGGTACTTTGCATGGCCTCCACAAGGTCATAAATCCTGGTACTTTGCATGACCCCCACAAGGTCATACATCTTGGTGCTTTGCATGAATTTTACAAGGTCATACATCCTGGTACTTTGCGTGACCTCCACAAGGTCATACATTCTGGTGCTTTGCATGACCTCCACAAGGTCATACATCCTGGTGCTTTGCACCAACTTTAGCAGGTCATACATCCTGGTGCTTTGCATAACCTCCACAAGGTCATACATCCTGGTGCTTTGCATGACCTCCACAAGGTCATACATCCTGGTGCTTTGCACGATCTTTACCTTGTCATACATCCTGGTGCGTTGCGTGACCTCCACAAGGTCATACATCCTGGTGCTTTGCATGACCTCCACAAGGTCATACATCCTGGTGCTTTGCATGACCTCCACAAGGTTATACATCATGGTGCTTTGCATGACCTCCACAAGGTTATACATCATGGTGCTTTGCATGACCTCCACAAGGTTATACATTATGGTGCTTTGCATGACCTCCACAAGGTTATACATTATGGTGCTTTGCATGACCTCCACAAGGTCATATATCCTGGTGCTTTGCATGACCTTTACCAGGTCATACATCCTGGTGCTTTGCATGACCTTTACCAGGTCATACATCCTGGTGCTTTGCATGACCTTTACCAGGTCATACATCCTGGTGCTTTGCATGACCTTTACCAGGTCATACATCCTGGTGCTTTGCATGACCTCCACAAGGTCATACATCCTGGTGCTTTGCACGACCTTTACCTTGTCATACATCCTGGTGCTTTCCATGACCTCCACAAGGTCATACATCATGGTGCTTTCCATGACCTCCACAAGGTTATACATTCTGGTGCTTTGCATGACCTCCACAAGGTTATACACCATGGTGCTTTGCATGACCTCCACAAGGTTATACATCATGGTGCTTT